ACACACACACGCACGCACACACACACACACTCACACACACACAAACACGCACACACATATATATGTATATATATATATATTTATTATATATATATATATATATATATATATATTATACACACACACACACACACACACACACAATATATACATATATATATATATATATATGACACATAGACATCCCCTGTACCTCCTTCTATTTGGCATAGGTTGAGCTAGAACCAACCGTTCATAAACCACTCCTTAACTAAATTTAATGTACTGTACTCTACAACTAAATGTAATACATACACTGCCCCTCCCTCTAACTACACAGTTTGAACTTAGACACGGGTGTGAACCCCACGAGAATCTGCAGCAGTTTGGATGGACCAGACACGATGGTAACGCATTCGGTCAGCAACAGATAGTGGACGACGGCATCGTACTGACCACCGAGTTTGTGAAGTTTCCTGGTAAGTGGTAGCAGTAGTAGGTGTGAGCTACACTGGAAGGGGTTCTGGTGTGTGCATGTATACTCACTCAGTGTGTAGATGCGGTGTACATATACACGCATATTGGTAGAACCACGCACACATGTGAATGTGTGTAGGTAGACACATACACACACATGTGAATGTCTGTAAGTAGAAACATACACACGCGCAAAGTTCTGGAGAGGCTGCAAGTAGTAGTAGATGGAGGATGCTCCACAGCGTGATGGTAGAGTACGCCATTGCACGTCAGCAGATCAAACAATTGAGGTGTCCAAGCATAGCCGAGACACAGCCCATCCACCCTCAAGACCTTGTGTATTCATATTCAAGACATGGTGTATATATAGTCAAGAATTAGTGGGTTCAGATTCACGACATGCTACATATACAGTCAAGAATTAGTGTATTCATATTCAAGACATGGTGTATATATAGTCAAGAATTAGTGGGTTCATATTCAAGACATGCTACATTTATAGCCAAGAATTAGTGTATTCATATGCAAGTGCACATACCCGGCCCTGTGTCCTTCTCCTCAGGCCCCAACGGCGGAAAATGGACCGCCCGGGTTTCAGGTCGAGTGCAAGACGGCTTTCTAGCGGATAACAAACTGGGTGTGATGACCGTGTACTGGTACACTATGATAGAGCCTCCCATCGCCAATTCAAGTGACGTGCACACGCCTGTGAGTCTATCCAGACATACGAGCACGGAGAAGACAGTGTACTCACTCAACGGCGACGCGCCAGGGATAGGCCCGTTCAACACGCGCGTGTCTTATGTAGAGTCGTAAGTGGGGTTGTCTGTGTATTTTGTATGTGTGTATGTGGTCTTGTATATGTGTATATAGATGCAGCTGTGTTGAGGTGAGGATATGTTCATGGATGTATGTGTGTTGTGGTTATCCAGACATACCAGCACGGAGAAGACAGTGTACTCGCTCAACGGCGACGCGCCAGGCATAGGCCCGTTTAACACGCGCGTGTCTTATGTAGAGTCGTAGGTGGGGTTGTCTGTGTATGTGTGTATATGTGTATGTGTTCTTGTATATGTGTATATAGATGCAGCTGTGTTGTGCGTATGTGTTCTTGTATATGTGTATATAGATGTAGCTGTGTTGT